TGGCTATGATGCCTCACTTCTGTAATGCCCTCCTCATTTCTTTGAATTGCCAAATCAATGTTGTTGTTGTTGTTGCTGTTGTGTGCCTTCAAATTGTTTCTGACTTATGGCAACACCAAGGCGAACCTTTATCACCGGGTTTTCTTGTCATGTTTCTTCAGAGGGAGTTTGGCTTTCTATTCAATCAATTGTGGCCTAATTTTAAGCAGGTATGTCTCTCGTAGTAGTAGTAAAGTAGTAGTAGTAATAGTAGTGGTAGAGAGTCAGCATGGCTTAGGGGCTTGAGTGCCAGACTACAACTCTGGAAGCCAGGGTTTGATTCTCGCTTGGCCACAAAACTTTCTAGGTGGCTTGGGCAAGTCACACTCTCTCAGCCTCAGGGGGAGGCAATGGCAAATCTCCCTTGAAGAAATCTTGTCAGGAAAATACCAAGGGAGGTTCGTTTTAGGGTTACCATAAGTCAGAAATGACTTGAAGGTGCACAACATATACAGTAGCAGTAATATTTATTGTGGCCACAGACCAAGAAATGTACTAAAGATGTTAAAAAGGTAAAGACAGCAAAAAGATAAAAGATTTAAACAATTACAAGCTTAATAAAACATCACTGTCTTTAGTTTTCTTACTCCAAAGCTGCAATGGAGATACGTTTAATATATGTATTCAAATATATATATATGTATGTATGTGTGTGTGTGTGTATATATATATATATATTTCTTTAAGTTATTTGCCAGTTTTAATTTTGTATTGTTTAATATATGCATTCAAATATATATATCTATATATCTATATATATCTTCTTTAAGTTATTTGCCGGTTTTAATTTTGTATTGTTTATATTGTTTTACCCTTTGCCACCGTGAGATTTCTTGATGACAAGGCAGGATAAAAATATTTTAAAAAATAAAGAAATAAGAATAGATAATGTTGCTCCAGCAGTTAAAGTGGAATCATAGTGCTGTAACTGTGTTGTGTGGAAGGGCCCTGACGTCTTTGGGTAAATAATTTTTCTGGTCCTGCTGATGCGCTGTAATTGGAGATGGGAAAAGGAGATGGACTTTATATGTGCAAACTGTATACAGCCCTTCTCCCAGTAGTCTGTGGCCTCTTATCAAATATGTATGCATGTTGGTTTGTAAAGGTCAGAGCTTGGAAAAGTTACTTTTTGGACTGCAACATCCAGACTGCCCCAGCCAGCATTGAGTATACTGGCTGACAGGTTCTGGGACTTGTTCTGAAAAAGGAACCTTTTCCAACCATGGCTAACAAAGTCGGATCCGTAAGGAAACAAAAGATTTTTCATATTATCATTTAGTTAGAGAGGATCAGTGCTCTTTGTTGTTGTCGTCGTCGTCTCCAAGTCATTTTTGACTTATTTTGATGAACCTATTATGGGGTTTGCCATTGCAGTCCTCTGAGGCTGAGAGAGTGTGACTTGCACAAGGCCATCCAGTGGGGTTTTATGCTCAAGTAGGGATTTGAACCTTTGTCTCCCCTGAATCTGATGCCCAAACCACTACACCACACTGGTTCTCTTTTAGATAAAATGAAAAACAAGTAGCTTAAAGAAAAAGTTGCCAAGTTTGTAACAGCTGAGAAAGCTAACTCATGTCAGAACTGAACGTAGGCCGTGTTTGCACTGCAAAGATAATGCAGTTTGACACCACCTTAACTGTCTGGCTCAATATTATAGAATTCTAGGAACTGTGAGACCCATGTAGCCTTCTTTGTCAGAGAGCCTTGGTGCCACAACAAACTACAAATCCCAGTATTGTATAGGATAGAGCCATGACAATTAAAGTGGTGTTAAACTGAATGATCTTTGCAGACAGATGCAGCTGTAGGGAAGAAGTAATAGAGCAGGGATCCAGGAGAAGTGTAGCAGCAGTGTAAGATGAATCTTACCATTCAGACACAACAACTTCTCTTCCTCTGGTGAATCACTGAGTGATTATAAAGTTCTGGATGCAGAAAACCAAAGAAATGGAGGAAGCAGCTTTTTGCCAAGTAGGAGCTATTGTTGGCCTGCAGTCTGCCAGTTTCTGCAGTGACCTAGATCAATGGTGCTGATGATTTAAATTCAGTGACTTGACCAACCTCATTAGTTTTCGTAGCAATGCACCAAAGCGCTGGGTGGTTTAGCTGAATAAGTGGTAAATTATGATGCCTTAAATCTCTGGGCTGTTGGCACAGTCTTGGTCCTTGTTAGTAATGCTTTAATAACAAATTGTGACTGACACTAATGAGCATTTGCTCTGTTCTCAGGCATCTTGGCTCCAGATCTCCATATATTGCTATATTTTGTCTGTTGAATAAGGATAAATAACAGGTAGGCAGACTCTCAAAACTTCTAATTTTTCAAATACACATTATAGTAATAACCTGCACAGTTATAGTAATGTTGCTGTTTTCTTTATCTGCATCACCAAAACCTGTATGATAGTCCAGAATTTGGTTATTATTTCACTATCCCTGTATTTTGTAGGGGAGTTCCATATGTTCAGTTTCTTCATGTAACACAACACGTAGAGGCACCCTGCTGAATAAAACAAGCAAACAAAGATATACAAAGGGATTTTCTAGCACCTTTGAGACTAATTGATAGAAAGACATTTGTAGCATTGGCTTTTGTAGACTCCAGCTACTTGGTTTCAGATGTTGATGAAGTAGATGGAGTCTATGAAAGATTATAGTACCGTTAGGTCCAAAACAGACTGCAAAAATAAGCCAGTTTGAGATGGCTTGCATTGCCCTGGCTCAATGCTAGAGAATCTTGGAAACTAGTTTTGTGAGACATTGAACTTTCTCTATCAGAGAGCTCTGGTTCCACAATAAACTACAATTCCCAGGGTTCCCTAGCACTGAGCCAGGGCGATTAAAGCTACATCTCAATGGGTTATTTCTGCAGTGTGGATTGGATCTCAGGCAGCTGTTTTAATACATTTGCAATGTTTCTTCAACAATGAATTCAGGTCCTGTTTCAACTTGGGTCCTATCTCCAAGACATCCACACTGCAGAAATCATCCAGTTTGAAACCGCTTTAACTGCTCTGGCTCAATACTAGGGAATTTGGGAATTGTAGTGTTTGTGAGACATTTAGCTTTCTCTGTCAGAGAGCTCTGAGGGCACAATAAACTACACTTCCAGAGTTTCCTAGCACTGAGCCCGGGCAGTTAAAGCAGTCTCAAACTAGATTATTTCTGCAGTGTGTTGGACTTTAGTCTCCAAGGTGCTACAAGATCCTTTTGTTTACTCATATGGACTAACATGGATATTTCTTTGAATAAAACAAAAAGGTACATCCTAGGTTATGAAGAATTAAAAAAAGATCTCTCAAGCAATTGAGCATCTCAGGCTGCTGCCACACTTCAGAATTAATGCAGTTTGACACCATTTTAACTGTCATGGATCCATCCTATGAAATCCTGGGATTTGTAGTTTGTAATCTGATAGACCAGTCTAAATATCTCACAAAACTCCAAATCCTAGAATTCCATAGCATTGAACCATGGCAGTAAAAGCGGTGTCCAACTGCATTAATTCTGCATAGTAGATGCAGCCAAAAATGCCCTAACTATGCTTTCTCAATAAATAACTAGGAAATAAGCTTTAAGGTGGATGATAGGTACAGTATTGGATTCACCCAGAGGTTATGCTTTTTAATTGCTCCTTTTGCTTGTTGGGAAAGGTGATAAACCTGAGTTTGCAAGATTTGAACAGGGCTATTGATGGCTGGAGCCCTTGGAGGTCCCTCATTCAGAGGGTTGCCATAAGTAAAAGCAAGATTAATGGCAAATAATAATTTCTACAGTGTTTATACACATAAACTTACTCTGCTTTTCTTCTGTACAGCAGGGGTTAAATTTGTGAGTGATTATGAAGGTGTAACTCTTCCTCTGAGAGGAGCGTGGTATAGTGGTTAGAGTGTTAAATTATCATTTTGGGAGACCAGAGTTTGAATGTTGGCTTGGCCATGGAAACCCACTGGATAACCTTGGGCAAGTCACAGTCTCTCAGCCTCAGAGGATGGCAATGGCAAACCCCCTCTGAAGAAACATGCCACGAAAACCTCATGATAGGTTCACCTTAGGGTCTCCATAAGTTGAAAGGGACTTGAAGGCACACAGCAGCAGCAGTAGCAACAACAACAAAAACAAACTCTTCCTTTCCCTATGAAAGATATAAAGCACCCTGCAATACATACTGGCCTGCAAGAAATAAATACTTGCCAGCATGGGGAGGGAATGAGGGGTAGGCAGCTGTGACCGCTTTCCTCCTAGTACTGTGTGGCAAAGTGTAACACCCCCAAATGTCAGACCACAACTATCACTAGTCTTTATTTTTAGGGCCTTTGCAGACTGCCAGAAATAGTGCAAATTGAGTCCACTTTAAGGGTTAGGGTTAGTGATAGGGAATCATGGGAATTGTTTTTTTTTTTTTTTCCTGAGACATTGAGCCTTCTCTGTCAGAGAGCTCTGGTGCCACAATAAAATACAGTTCCCATGATTCCCTAACTCTAACCCTTAAAGTGGACTCAATTTGCAGTATTTCTAGCAGTCTGCAAAGGCCCTTAGTTATTCTGACTAGGGCTGTTGAAAATTGCAGTCCAGAAATTGATGTATGGCAAACTTCATCCTATATTCTCTTTCACATCCATGTGGCTCATTCCCATTTAAGGTTACCAGATGCATTCTAAAATACAAGAAAGATATACACCCATAATTTATGGTGTGTTTGTTTGTTTTGTCATTGAGAATAAGGCTATGCCTTCCAAATACTCTGAAGTGAGGAACTGGAAGATTTTTTTCCCCCAATGTGCAGGGGGACCAGTACTATATTTGTGCCCATGGATTTAAAATTGTTTCTTTCTCTCTAGAGACCAGCAGTTGATGACTTGTGAACAGCACCAATCCCCGAACCACCACTTTGGTTACCACTGGAATAGAGTTAATGTTTGGAAAATGGCTTTGAGGCTTTTTGGTGACTTCAGAATATATGCATAGGAACATCCAAGCATGTGTGCAGAAGTACTAGAGTATCTCCAAGGCTGCTTCTGTTTAAAATCCCAATTTTGGCAGAATTGGAACATTGGGTGCTTATTATGAGCCTGACACTTGAATCCTAATTTGATCCTATCAGGTTAAAAGTACTATCCTTTTTTTCACTGCCTTAGATACACAATTTCAGGTCTTGGGAGAAGTAATAGAGGGCTCAGTCTTAATTTGAATGTGTTAAACTTCCCTCCCTCAATGTCATCCTTGGTTTGTCTCCAGCAGATTTGAGCTCTTGATAGTGTAACTGCTCTTTTGCCTACTGCTGTCTCCTGCCTTG